GCGCTTCCATCAGTCAACTTATTTGTTCATATTCACCATTCAAGCTCTTTTCTTGATAATCCTTGCTCAAATCCACCATCTATGAGAGCCAGTATCAGCTTTTTTCAGGTTTCCGTCAAAACTATGCTGCCTTTTGCTAGCCTTTTGCTAATAATTCAATCTCATCATAGGATCTTTTTCAAATTTACTTGTGCCCACCGCAATGGCAGCTTACTTCTAGTCTATATACTATAACAATGCAACGTAGAATGCGGTACTAATAGTTCGTCGTGAGGTTGACCATATCTCTCCCTAAAATGCTTTCTAAAATCTGAAATAATACAACCTATATCTTTCCACATATCTTCAGCTTTGAATTAAAGCACGGTACCAGCAATCTCTTACAAGATTGTATGAGATTCTCTAGAAATCGTGCGAAAGAATATGAGTTCTTCGACACTTGTGTCTTGGAAATCAATGCAAGTGATAGGTTAACTCGGACATTTATTTGTTTTTAACTTCAACTTCATTTTTTTAAAGCACTTTTTGGATTTTGCTGCTATCAAATTGATTCTTTTCCAGCCAGAAGAGCTCAAAGTCGCCGCACAGCTTCATGGCGATATCCTCCCTGTATCCAATGTCATTGATTATGAAGCTCCACGAGCCATCACCGAAGCAGAAAAGAAAGTCGAGATCTACCGCCACCTTAGACGAATCCGCGCTGACAAGAAATACGCTGGTGTTCGTGAAAAGAGAGCGAAGGAAGCTGCCGAGGAGAACAAGTAAATTGTTGTTGATTTGTGTTATTTACATAAATTTGTTATCATTTTTCTTCCTTGTTCAAATACGCAATAGAATATATGCTGTACAAATGTTTGCTTCATCTGTAATCCGTATAGCTCCAGTTGTCAAACTACGAACGGGCTTTGTGCGGTGCATATAATGCTCTAAGTTTTTCAAATTATTGAAATCTCAGGGAAATGGGTTTTGTTAAGGTGTAGTTATTCGATAGTTTGAACTTTGCAGTTCAAGGAAGAGAGTTTGTTCTGAAGGACTAGCGAGACGTGAAAGATTTCGTTAGCATCCGACGCATATGAATGTTCTTCCTGCTCTTACAGCCAGAGGTTGGGGTCAGTTAGCCATCGTTACGTTCCATTTCAGTTCTCATGAAATGACACTTTTCCAAGAAAGACCG